TGATCTTTGACTGAATTTTTAAAAATTTAACTCAAAGATAGTATTCACAGTCTTCGAGATGGGCAAACGGCATGCTGATCTTAGGTATACCGTGGCTTGAGAAGCATGAGTCATGGATTGATAGGCGATTGAAAACGATTGGGGGTAGCTTTCCTGGCGTAAGTGAACCCCCTGGGAGTAATGGACCCACACTCACCATGCCTTGGAAAAAGCATTCAAGCGCCCGGCAGTATTGGTATACGTCATGCAATTTACATTCAGCATGTTAGGGAAGATATGAAGTCGTGTGGAGTGGACACTGGTGGTCACTCAGTCTGTCGACAGATCAAGTGGCACCCGGAACTGGCACTTTGAATACGAATGAATCGTTGGTGGGCATGAATTTATGAGGGAGAGATGGCGGTTGTCGCCCCCCTCGAGACGAAAGGTTGTTGTTGACATGTATGTACTGGAAAGTCGAAGGAATCGACTGCGGCTGTATATGCCGCAACTCACACTAATACATTGGTCGAGTCCGTTAAGGTTATGGGTCAGTGGGTATAACTGACCACAAAGGTAATGCTCCGACCCGTTGAGTGGTCGGCGCACACATTTATATTCATCAACTATATTTGTTGATCGGGGTACTGATACTCCTGCTCTGGATGCGGTTTAGTCCGCGGGTGAGTAAGTCCAGCTTACTACTCCCCATGATGAAATTGTAGCATGCAAATATGCTGGTCCACGTATTGTGGATGCGAGACTGATAGAATATATGTTCTTTTAGCACCGTTATCGACATCAAAAAATTGGTACAGCTTGACGAAGTAAATAACGATGAATTATGACACAACCTCAAGTCTGATGGCATTGCAGAGGTCGTGTTGCAACAGTCGAAGGTGAATTCACCGAAATTACGCTCATCATCAGCTATGGATGATTCGGCTCTTGTTTGACAGCGTGTGGAATCACGCAGATGATTTACTATTCTGAAAAATACAACTGATAGTTATTACTCACTTATTATGGATCACAAGCATGACGTCCTTAGTGCAAACCCGTCCTCTGGTCTACCACCTGGAGTTTGACACGAAATTGATTGTAAATTTGGTTTGAAGCATACAGTGCTTCGACAGTGGTCACTGTCGCGGACACAAGTGAATTTATTAATGAGTTCTTTGCTCTAGAGCAAGCTTCCTGGTTTATAAGGGAATGAACGCAGCGGAGCTACCGTAGCTCTTTTGCTCAGAGGAAGCTTGGTTAAGGTCGGTGACCTTAGTTATATACTTAGAACCAGTACGAATGTAGCGGATCGCAATCCATTAACTCCAAGAGTAGTTACAATTTTACCCAAAGACTAATTACCTCTTCCGTTTAGAATGTAAGCTATATTTCTCGGTTCTATTTGCGGCAAAGCCGCCTATATCTAAAACTATAGATTTTCCTATCTATATCGTATAACCTTATAACTACTGGCAGTCCAGTCACGTACTGACTTCTTGTTTATGTATAGCCACGCCCATTGTTTGATCACACCATCTTGTGTAACCCACATCATTTTGTGGTCACACCATCTTGTGTGAATCACACCCTCCATACCAGGGCACGTGAAACTCTGTTACACTCTTGTGAACACCTACAGTTCACATTCAACTGTCGCCTCGAACGAGGCTCGCGTGTCTATGACACCACAACATCACCAGGACTACTTTCACGAATTCTCTGCTCAATGAGCCGTGTCTCGAGGACACAAAAGACACCCAGCATCACTGGCTTTGAGAATGCCCGCGGACAAAGCCTTTTTAGCCTACTGCATGCGGTGTAACTTCGGACAGCACATTCGAAGCTCTCGGGAACCGAGTATCGCGCAGCGCATTGTCAGTGACACAGTTGCACGACCAAGCACACAGACACGATGCCTACTCCCGATCCCGCACAGTGCCTGCCACGAACGATCGATTACCTCGTCGAAGAAATTGAACGAAGTCGACTACAAGTCCGGTACTTCTTCTTCAGGATGGGTAGAAGAGGAGGGCGAGGTGCCCCAGCGGCGCGACGTGACCCTGCTCGAACCTTGTAGATGCTGTGTCCACTTCCCGAATTCTTGACTTCCTCAAGAAACCCCTGTGGATACGTACCGCACGCGACTTCGAGCCTAAAGAGGAGACGCTCCTATACCGCGATGCGGACGATCCTGTGGTGCTCGCCCCTAGCGAAACCGCTGCACGTAACGAAGAGCTCTTTGAGCGATTGTTGCAGCGGCACCGAAGACTTTCCTCGCTGTTCAATTTACAGCCGAGCCACAGAAAGGTGGAACGCCATCTTCGGTTCGAGTTTGCCAAATTCAAGGCGCGTCCTTCAAATTGTCGCCCTGCGACGTATAGGTTAACTAATCACGCTTTCGGGAGCTCTGTGGTCTCTCGCACGGGTGAGTCTGCGACCGCAGCAGCTCAGGGCCATAGCTTTAGCTCAGCTCATGGCTCTTCGGCTTCCCTGGCTATTGCCGAGGAGTACGGGGCGTATGACGACGCGGAAGGTCAAAATCCTTCTCATCATAAGCGTCAACGACGTCTGAGCAATCTTGCCGAAATGGCACTTCAAACTCCCATAAGTTCTTACAGTCGGGGTATCCCCGGCTTTTCACAATCTACTGGGTTTGACCCTGGCGACGACGTCGACCAACAAGACCTTTCCACGTAATAGTGGACAATACCATTCGCGTCGAGAAGAGTCGTCGCCAGACGATGACGACTTGGTCAATCGCCATCCGCTTTCTCGCGATCGCAATCGGGACTCCGTTGAGCATCATGCTGGGGTTGCATACCGCTGCGCGGAAGACCTAGAGAGCTTGGAGCACGTTGTGCACCGGCTGCCTCACGTCGGGGGCTATCGCGCTCTGTCTGGCGGCTCCTAGCCGTTAAGCAGACGAATACGTCGCTTCATGCGAAGGTGGAGTGCTTGGCGCCGTGGGAGATGGAGATCGTTGCACTCCGTGCTCAAAACCAGTTGCTGGTCTAGCTTCTGGGTGGTCGAGCGCATGTGGTTAGCGCTGGCGGCGTCATAAACGCAGTCGTCGCCGACATCTTCTGCTCTAGGTGCTCTAGCAGAGCATTTTCATAGCTCGAAAACGCATCTAGGCACTCGCTTATCGCTGCGGGTCCTTGCGAAGCAAGGTGTTGCACGCCCTCAGTGACACCAGTTTTTTTAGCCTATCCCGCATGCTCTGGCGCAATTGCTTCATCCTTACAGAATACAGTCGTAACCACTCAGGAGTATATTGGATACAAGTACTACCAAGTGCAGCAAGGCTGCCGCAGCTCTTTTCTTAGAGGAAGCATACTAAGGTTACCGACCTTACTTTCGACACTAGAACCAGTATGAGTATAGCGGATGGCAATCCGCTTCCCCCAAGAGTTCCCAAAACCTTAACCCAAGTTAAATGTACTCTTTTGTTCAAAATTGAAATATTATTCATTATTTTTTTTGCGGCAAAGCCGCCTATATTTGAATCTCTAGGCTTTCCTTATTAAATACCTAATCGATATGCATAACTACTGGTTGTCCCACCACGTAGTGGCTTCTTGTAACGGCGCAACCACACCATTGTGTGATTACACCGTCTTGTGTAATCCACACCTTTGTACAGTCACACCATCTTGTGTGACCCACCCTTTCATACCAGGGTACGTATAACCCCTTACAGCAGGGACGTATGTCTGAATGTGCGTTATGATCCGCAAGCATTATACGTGGTGTATTTACATTATTTGGTGCCTGTGAGCATGACAATTCTCGTTGGTATTGAGATTTGTATACGGGTGACCCGGTCTCAATTCCCGTGTGGGAAGCACTATTAAGTCATTACTGGTGCTTTATTTATAAAATCTCTGCCATGAGGTGGCCGTGCGCATTGCACAGAAATTTTTTGACTATCAACGCTCGTGTTAAAAACGCATAAAGTTTGGGCTCGTGCACTCCTACCAGGAGCGGAATCGTGGGCCTATCAGATTAATAAGTCTGGTAGTTTCTCAGCAGTTTCAAAAGTACATTCATTTTGAATTTATTCTATTTAGGTAAATGCATCTTTTTTATAGCAAGGTTAGCAGCTGCTTTTCGGGTTAATACCGATATTTCTATATTTTGAATATATACAATTACATCTAGTGTTATGTGAACTTCGTACATCTGTGCATCATGTGAAGAATTAGCTGTATGTATGTTTAAGGGCCAAGCACACAAAACCACAGTGCTTGTGTGCTGCATTCACCCCTCATTACGATGTAATCGTACACTATCTGGCTTTGAAGAAAATGCGCAAGTGACCATTTTATAAAAAAGTCTGGTCCTGGAAATTCCTCTTTACCATGTCTGCTCTTTTGAGGTACTAGCACCGATCCCTGGCTAAAGTGGTTTGTAGCTTGGTCTGGGACCGGAAGGTACCTGGTTTGATATCTGAATCAAGGACGCCGGAGATAGGTCACTATAGCGGACGAGCAATCACATCCAATTGGGTGTGTGATAGTTGGGTGGGAGGAGACCCCACAGACCGACTCGGTCCCAATGTGGGTTGGATAGCATCCCGCACTAGAGAAACTTGAACCTAGTGTGTGGGTTCCGGTAAGTTAAATCTCTCTTCTGAGGTACTTGCAACGGAATACAGTCGAATTGTTTGCGATGAAAAGTGACAAAGTGACTCTCCGAGTCCTGAATAAACACGTCCGCCCTCACTCGGCAATACATGGTCTAGCCACTTCTGAAGGAGAAGGCGTGACTGCGCTCAGCCTCCTCGTTGCACAAAAGTCCAATGAATAATTTGAAGTATTCAAAAGCCCCTTAAATCAGTAATTATTGGCCAAAATTTAATTTTTAAAGAGCAGATTAGATGGCATCAAGAAAAGATGAATACGCAGCAGGTATGCGTCGATGTCGAGCAGATATGGAAAAAGGTTTTCCATACGTCGTATGCACACTATTTGTCGCAGGGCTTGGAGCCAAACGACGCAGTGGCTCATGCCCTGCTAGAAATGCAGCAGCTCGCAGCTGGTGGCGCTACGCCAACTAGCCCCTCGACAGTAAATGCCACCCATGACAACGTAAAAATGGAGGATGCGTCTCTTTTGTGTCATGAGCCGGGTATCATAATGGAGACGCTAAATTTAGCGATACCGCCTGCATCTACGTCCGCCGAATTGCCCCCGTCCAACATCACCGGAGCTTTTACCGTTGACGCTACACCTTCTCCTTCTCCTGGGCAGATTGCTGCGCGATCTCTATCGGGTGTTTATAAGACAGATCGTAATATGACTGCCACTGGTGATGTAGCCAGAATTGAAGCAAGTTTTGGTTTAACATCGATGACGACACAACTGGAAAAAGTTTTGACGCTTGCACTAGAGACCAACGATTTCCGTGTAGCAAAAAGTCTAGTGTATCAGGTTTTCTCTGATCCAAAGGCAATAAGTGCGTTGTTTTTAAAGAGAAGTGAGAGTGAAGAAATAAATGAAGATGAAGTCGGAAGGCAGTGGTGGGGCATTGATCGGGACCAGGTACAGCGGGTATTCTCGCTTTTAAACGCGGCAATGACGGGAATCGACCAGAAGGCGATGCAAAACACATTCAAAAATGCACTAGAGATGCTAGTTACGCAACCATGGAATGTTTGCTCAACTTGGCATGCTCCTTATGCTTTGCGTTTTTTTCTGGTGTTGTTTGAACACCCTCTAGTGTTTGATCCGGAATATTAAAACGTGGTAGGTGGACTGTGTCGACTATTCTATTACCTTTCCGAAAAGGCCAAGGCCCTCCTTCGCGCGCAGTGGTTAGCAAATTACTCTGCTGATGAATTGCATCGGCTACTTGACATTCTCCAGCAAGCAATCACAATTTGTCTCTATGGCTCTCGCAAAATGGACTTTGTATATGCAGCATGTGGTGTGCTTGCCGAGCTTTATATCGTAAATCTAGAACGTATGAAAATTTCGAAGCCTTTCGCTACATACGATGAGTTTTATAATGACGCGATCAATTCAGAGGTGGATATCGTCGACGATTACTCGCGGTCTATTATTTATTGAAAAAAACGCCGTGCTGCCACACGTGCTGCTCAACGTTTCGTGCGTGAGGAAGCGCGTCAGCGGGAGATGCCCGAAATCATTGCGGGAGAAATGGGGCAAGACGAAGCTGATCGAGAAGAAAACCGCATGCCTGAACGTCAGCTATCGGAAATGTCGTTTTGCGATTTTCCTTTTGTATTAGATGCAGCATCAAAGAGCAAAGTTTTACAGATCGACTCGGACATCGAGCAGCGTGCACGTGCACAAGATGCTTTTTTATCTCGATCGAATACAGAAGGTATGCCTTTGCCTTATTTAGTTTTGAAAGTAAGACGTGAGAATTTTGTGGAGGATGCAATGCAACAAATTGTTCGTTTGTCGACATCAGCTGATATTCTTAAAAAGCCGCTGAAAGTCAAATTTGTTGGAGAGGAAGGGATTGATGAGGGTGGCGTACAGAATTTTTTTTTCAAATCCTCATTCGACAACTGCTTGATCCAGCATATGGTATGTTTAATTACGATGAAGAAACACACACACTGTGGTTTGATAGCGATTCACTGGAGGCTACAATGGAGTACGAGCTGATTGGCACGCTACTAGGCCTTGCGATCCATAACGCCGTTATTCTTGACGTGAGCTTTCCTCACATCGTTTACAAGAAACTGATGGGATGTGCACTTGGACTACAGGATCTAGAGTTAGCACTTCCGGAACTTGGACGGGGTCTGCGACAGTTGCTCAATTTCAAAGGTGATGTAAAAGAGGCGTATCAGCGTAATTTTGAGTACTCGTACGAAATATTTGGCATGGTGAAAACGGTTGGGTTGAAGCCTGGAGGTAGCACCATTTCCGTTGACAACGCTAATCGCGAAGAATACGTAGCTCTCTACGTGGATTACGTGCTGAATAAATCGGTCACTCGACAGTATACAGCTTTTCATCACGGCTTTCACCAGGTCTGCAACAGCGATGTGTTAAGTATGTTTAGATGGGAAGAGTTGCAATTGTTGATTTGTGGAAGCAGCGACTTGGACTTCAAAGCGCTTGAAGAGGCGACCCTTTACGAGGATGGCTTCACAAAAGACAGCGAGATAATTCGGTGCGTAGTTTCAAAACTTGTATGTTCGGACGGTCTAACATTTACGTAATGGTTAACGTGGTAGAGCTTTTTGGGTCATCGTCCATGCCCTTCCATTGAAAGACAAGAAGAAGCTTTTGCGGTTTGCAACTGGTAGCGATCGTGTACCGATTCGTGGACTTTCAAATCTTGTGTTTGTTATTTCTCGCAACAATGGACCCGACTCTGACCGCCTTCCAACAGCACACACATGGTAAGAAATAATCATTTATTATTACAATAGCAGCCAAAGCTAAGACATTGTGATACGACTGAATTGACAGTTTCAACCACCTGCTGCTGCCGGAGTACAGTAGTCGGGATAAGCTTAAAGAGCGTCTTTTAATAGCGATAAACCAAGCTGAAGGTTTTGGACTTCGCTAAAAAATCTGTTACTTTTGTTTGGGCTTATCGAATAGACAAAGTAAAAGTTTGCGTAAACTAAAATCCTAATTTTCTAAGGTGCATTGCCAAGTTACCACGACTCACACGCCTGGCTTATCGCCATGCACTGCCTACGTCGCAATGCTTCCGTATGCTTATACCAACAATGATGTAGCACAACTCTTTGCTCCCTTTGGAAAATTGGCGCGGGTACTTGTGCTGCGTGACAAGCAGACACGTCGTAGTCGCGGCGTGGCCTTTGTACAGTTCGCTAGAGCCGAGGACTGTGCGAGCGCAGTAGCTAAAATGGGCAAAATGCCACTTGAAGATATGACACTGGCAGTATCGCTTTGTCGTGACAACGGACGCTCGCAGGCGTTTGCCAAGAAGCGCAAGTTCACGACATCCCAACGCTGCTTCGAGTGCGGTCAATTAGGCCATGTATCTTATGAATGCCCACGCAACGTGCTGGGCACAAGAGATCGACCTGTAACGATGGGAGGCAAAAGGAGTAGAAAGACTTTGAAGAAAAGGAAGAAATTTGATCCGCACGAGCGCGCGCATTATTTCAATGATGAAGACGTCACCAACATCCTGTATGTTTTTTTTATATGAAGCGAAGTTTAATCTAATTGACTCTATGCAGAGCGCCGCCTACAGATCCTGACGATGATGACGTTTCCATCTTACTACTAGCATATCCGTCGAAAGCATCATCAACCAAGACACTGCCTTCACCGTTGTTTCCCGCAGCATCTCTACTCATTACCTTTCAGATATAAAACAAGATGCCACATGACATCATTAACTGACATCATTAGATCACTGAAATTTAGCGAGATTTTTGAGAAGAAGCAATAAATTTACGCTGTAGCGGCTCGAGTGTGGACGAAAATGCGCAATACTTAAGGTGGGCTTTTGTCGAACCAAATGCGTGTTTGTTAGCAAAATGAATGGTGAATTGATCATGGGATTCGTTCGCTATTATTTTTAAACTCTTAGCCTACCATATGTTCCAAAATCTACTTCAAAAATTGCTTCGCCCGATGCTGCCAATCCGAGTGTCACGTCCCAACTCCACTAGGATCATTTAATCAGTCAGAAACGCTCGTCGTATGTGAAACCGAATACTGTTAGTATACCGACGACTTGACACCGATCGAGGCGCATGGTCGAAAACAAGGACATCCCGAGTCTGATTAAGTAACTGACTCAACCGAGAAGATTGACCGTGATGAGGAGTTTGATGTGCTACGTGATTATCTCACTAATTTTGAGATGCCGTCTTGGCAACAATTTGTTTCTTGGTGGTAAAGTAGTGGAATCTGATTCTTCCATAATGATATTGGAGAGTAAACAGCAAGAAAGCGCACATTGAACAACAGGGTTCACAAAAAAATCAAGAAAGCGGTGACAAAAAAGTGGACTGCATTTTCTTCAATGCAACTTGAAGTGCCAGGATCATGTGGACACCACCGCCACGACACAATACCGAGTTAATGATCAGGTTAATCTAATTTATACTTCTAACCAGACCATTGGATGAACGATTTTATTTTGATAGCGTCTTCAAAGTATACGAAGGCGATTTTTCTAGACAACATGGAAACTATGAAATGTGAAATAAGTTGATATATATTTAAGAAAATTATTATTTAGACCGATGGTTATCGAAAAATAACATGATCGTGACGATTGGTGCATAATTACATTAATATCAACACTTGCTTTTATGATATATGCCGAAACATTTCAATTTCAATAAAGCTGATTTTCTTTACCCGTCTACG